ATCAGGCTACTTAACTAATTTTAGACTCCATCTACCATAATGATTTGTCTACTCTGTAGTCTCTACCTTGTTAACTAATTTTAGACTCCATCTGCTTAATGTTACACCATGAACATATATATAGTTGATAAATAATTCTTGCATAAATCAACATGCACAAACATTTTGTTGCTCTTGTTTTTGGAAAGTTTCACGCGATTTAAGTTTAATTACCATTACTTATCTATGACCAATTAAATGAAATTTTCACTTATTTTAGTTGGTTTATATTTCTAGTAGTGGATTTTTAAGTGACTAATATTTTTTTTTTAATACAAGCAATAGTCTAACCTATAAAGAGAAGAGGGAATTTCTCACACACATACACCTAAGGTGCCATAGGGGTTTGAACCTAGTCTACAACTCAATAGCCGTTTCCAGTATAATAGACCTCATTGGCGCTACTAATTATTTTTTAAATAAGTTACATATACAAATATTTGAATCGTTTTCGTTCACCTTTCTGCTATGTGCAAAAATAATTTTTCACATGCTAGTCTCTCCTACAATACCTACTCTACCAACGTTATCCACAACATTAATCTTCTAGAACATGATCCTAGTTTCATTTGAATGGAATCAATCTCCTGGAATTTAGTTTTTAAATCGCAGTACTTATATCCAAGTGCATGTCCAAATGAATCTATGTCTCTCCTGTATTTTTGTGTTTTGACTGACCAAGAAGAAACGGAAGCTGCTGAAAATGTCTCTTTACATTTAACTGTTTGAGAATATAAAAGCAGAAGCCATGGCTTTTACGTTGGCAAAATTTATATGCGCAGAAGCCACGCAACATATATATATATATACATGAAGTTGACGATCAAAAGACATCTATTTCCACATGGTTTTTTCGTATTTACACATCTTGTTTAATTGTCTATTTACAGAAAATTGCCTCCTCCAAAGGAGAAAAGGAGAAAGTGCAAGGTGGGCAGAAAATTGCGTAATCTCGACTGGACCAGTTCTCTCCTCACATGAAAATATGCAATCGGATCGTAACCTGACCAACCCACCCATAAATAGTGTGGGTGGTGGTGTATTAGGACTAAAATCAAAATTCATTGCAAAACTTATTAGTTTCAATGAGGGGGATAAAAAAAATAATTTTATGGATAATAACAATGTAAAGAGACATTTACAGCAACTTGACCCGAAATTAAGTACCATTCGGTTGGGTTCAATTTAGGCCTCAAACTAGCAATATAGTTGTCAAATAAGTACTTTTGTTAACTATTATGCGACTATTATTCGCTTTTATGTGCAGTTGATAGTTGGAAGTTAATTCTTCCGGAGATCTACCCTTTGTTCTACGGTGGCGGGACTTCAATCCGTAGTGGTATGGTAGTCATGATTTAGGTTTGTGTTTTAATTTAGGATTTTGCTTGTTTTGGGGTGTGTGAGTTTGGATATGGGCTATGACAGATTTTGGTAATTTGAGTTGGTTGGATTTTGTCCAATGTAGTTTCCCCTTTCAGATTGTTGCTTTTTTTTGCAGTCATATTGAAATTAAATGATAGATCTTTTTATATTACTTATATATGACCAATTAAATGAAATTTTCACTTATTTTAGTTGGTTTATATTTCTTAATAATTATATCCCAGCAGTCATCAGTAGTGGGTTTTTAAGTGATTAATATATATTTTTTTTAAGGAAAATGCTAGAGGCACCAACTTTGAGACCAACTCTCTAATAGAGCATGGGCCCCGGTGTATTGGCGGGCCCCACCTCTATTAGAGAGTTGGTGCCCAAAGTTGATGCCTCTAGCACCACTCTTTTTTTAATACAAGTGATAGTCTAACCTACAAAGAGAAGAGGGGGTTTCATACACTTACAACTAACGTGTTATAGGAGTTTGAACCTAGTCTATAACTCAATAGCCTTTTCCACTATGGTAGACCCTATTGACGCTAATTTTTTAAATAGGTTACACATATACAAATATTTAAATCGTTTTTGTTCACCGTTGTGTTGTGTGCATAAATAATTTTTCACGTGCTAGCCTCTCCTACAATACTTACTCTACCAACGGTATCCAAAAACATTAATCCTCTAGAACATGATCCTTGTTTCATTTGAATGCCATCAATCTCCAGGAATTATAGTATCGGAATTTAGTTTTTAAATCGTAGTACGTACATCCAAGTGCATGTACAGTCCAAATGAAGCTATGTCTACATCTGACTTTTGGGTTCCCATATTTTTGTCTTTGACCGACCAAGAAACAGAAGCTGCTGTAAATGCATCTGGACTGTTCGAGAATATAAACGCAGAAGCCACGCACGCAACATGCATATATGATATATATTGATGAAAGTTGACGGTCGCCTCAGCTCATCTTGTCCCAATAAATGAGACAGCCCACTTTTACTATTCTCCCCTCACCATGTGTGAATAAAGTTTTTGAACCGCATCTAGCTTTCTGTGAAATTACTGAAAATGATAAAGATTATTGAATAATAGAAAATTTATATATATTTGAATCTCTTGATCATACGTGTAGTTTCCACGAAGTTAAGAAATTAGACTAGATCAAAGATATCTATTTTCGTATGGTTTTTTCGTTTTTACACTTCTTGTTTAATTGTCTATCTACAGACTACAGCCTCCTCCGAAAAGAGAAATTGCAAGGTGGGCCGAAAACTACGTAATCTCAACTGGACCAGTTCTCTGCTCACATGAAAATATGCAATCGGGTTGTAACCTGACCAACCTGCCCATAAATAGTGTGCGTGGTGTTTATTAGGACTAAAATCAAAATTCATTGCAAAACTTAGTTTTAATGAGAGAGATGTAAACAGTAATAATAATAATAATAATCTTTTCTACAAGGATGAAATCTGTGAGAACTAATTAAATCAAAACCCTAAGTCAAATAATTCCTTCCATTTGGGGATTATTTGACCTAATTGAGAATTACTCAACCTAATTGGGAGTTACTCAATTTAATTGGGGGTTACCCAATTAAATTGATAATAACCTAATTAAATTGATATTTGATTTGATACCTACCACAATTAGGGATTTGATTTACCCTAATAAATCAAATCCCTAATTAATCAAATCAATGCCAAATCGGGGAGGAATAATTCCTTACCAACTACGGAATTATTCCTCTGAAACCCTAGCCTCCGAGACTACTATAAAAAGATGGCCACACACAAGGGTGGAGGTACGTCTAAATTTCTACTGAAACTCTGCAGAAATTATTTCTCACAAACCCTAGCCACCACTTTCTTTCTCTCTCTGACACAAGGCTCTGGCCACCACACACGGCTCCGGTCACCCTACCTAACTTAGGCGTCGGAGGGCCTTTGGCCAACACCCCCCGGGTGTGGTCCTTTTACCCCGATCTGTTTTGCAGGGAGAAAGAGAAGTGGAGAAGACGAAGGAATCTTAGACGAATATTCTAGTGGGACGAAATTTGCTCCCACAAATTGGTGCTTTCATTGAGAGCACGAGATATATTCAAAGTGTGCTCCAAATCCATCTTTCACACATTTTTTCAAACAACCACGGTTGATACAAGACGTAAGAAGAGTAACGCCACCACGACGGGCCCATCTCATGGTTTCGTGGTGGAAACCTCAATGCAACCGCATGGAATCATGGCTGCCAACGCCTTGCAGCCGTCTTCTAGTGCTTTGCAGCCGCCTTCAACTGCTGGAATTGCATAACAGCCGCCATATGACCCCGGGACCTCCATAGCCTTGCAGTCGCCAGCGCCGATTACCGGAGCTGCTCTGCCTCACTGTCATGCCGTTGGAGCACATCAGCAGCCACACCACTTAACTACGGGCCTAGCTGCACAGCCCCACGACTACCCTGACGTCGTCTTGGTCTTGGAGCAGATCCATTCTCTCCCTCCTCTGCGATCACACTTGACATATGCACTTGTGTACGCGTCTAATGGAGCCCTAGCCCACATGCCGTTGGGCCCGATGCACACCACTCTACTTGACCCCCGCAGTCAGGTGGACCTTAACTCATAGGTTGATCAACTCACACAGAAGGTCGATGATCAAAACAACCTGATTGGCTAGCTACTCAGGCAGATCAACTTGAATCAAGGCCCCAACCTTGGACCTCGTGACGAGGAGAGGAAGGCACACGGGCATGCTGGCAAGCAGTTCGAGAGGTCCCAGGCTGGTCAGACAGGGGCAAACTGGCAGGGGAGAGAGCGAGATCGTGCAGATGAGACGCAGACAGCTGCAAGCCATACTCTGAGCCGTTCGAGGTTAGGTCCCAGGACCAATGTGCTCGAGAGGCTAGGTCCATAATCCAATGTTCGTGCTCGCTTAGGTCCACAAGGAGCTCGAGTTCGTGAGCAGTCGCGGCGACAAGCTATGGAGGGATCTTCCCAAACTCAACCTTCTCTCCTGCCCCACGGGCAGGGCAATTAAGGGGATCGACCCTTGGGAGCTGGAGAAGAAGTTAGCCAATCACGCTCGAGGCACCGAAGATGTGGACCTGAATGACCTTCCTTGCGAGCAGAGTATGACGATCAACGCTCACCAACCCGCTCGAGGTCCAACAAGCAGCAACAAGCTGTGGAGGGATCCTCCCAAACTCAACCTTCTCTCTTGCCTCACGAGCAGGGCAACCAAGGGGATCGACCCTTGGGAGCTGGAGAAGAAGTTAGCTAATCACGCTCAAGGCACCGAAGACGTCGACCTGAACAACCTTCCTTGCGAGCAGAGGATGACGATCGACGCCCACCAGCTCGCTCGAGGACCAACACGAGGCGACAAGCTGCAGAGGAATCCTCACAAGCTCAATCTCCTAATCTGCCTCATGGGCAAGGCACCCAAGGGGATCGTCCCTTGGGAACCGAGGAAGAAGTTAGCCAGTCGCGCTCGAGGCACCAAAGACGTCGGCCCTAGACTCCAACCCTGCGAGCAGAGGATGTCGATAAGCTAGTAAAGGACCAACTCCGAGGTCTCCGACTTAAAGAAAGCATGGAGGAGGCCCTGTGCAAGGAAATTGATCGAGTTGACTGCTCGCTCTTTACGGACGAGGTGGAACGAGCTCCGCCGCCGAAGCGGTTTACAACGCCATCCATCACTCCATTTAAGGGGGATTCTGACCCTGAGAGCCATTTGAGGCACTTCAAGAGCGCCATGATCCTGTACAAGGCAGACGACGCCCTGATGTGCAAAGTGTTCGCGATGACTTTGCGAGGAGTAGCTCAGGATTGGTTCTACACTCTACCGTCCGCGTCGATAGGCAACTTCAAGGAGTTCGCCATCATTTTCACAAAAGAGTACACCTCCTACAAGACGGTCAGAAAGCATGCGAACCACCTGTTCAATTTGTGCAAGAAGTTAGACGAGTCTCTACGAGACTACCTGAGACGGTTTAAGGCTGAGAAGGCTAACATCATAGGATGCAACGACTAAGTTGCATCCTTAGCTTTCAAGAAGGGCTTGCCAACCGAGCACGAGCTATATTGGGAGCTGGCCATAACTCCAAGTCAAACCTTGCCAGAAGTGTTCGCGACGGCAGAGCGCTACGCACTTTGGGACGATGATCGTATCGCCGCAAAGAAAGCTAGCAAGCAAGTTGACCACCCGAAAAAGCAGGCAAGCCAAAAGAGCAATAAGTTCGAGCAAAAAGGCCGAGATAAGCGCAGATCGCGGCCCCAAGAGGAAAGCTCAGAAACAGGGACATTCACTGAGTTCGCTATCCCAATCCACCAGATCCTAGCTCGGGTGAAGGACAAGCCGTGGGTGAGGAGACCACCACCCATGAAGGGAGACCCCTCTAAAAGAGACACCAGTAAATACTGTGCATTCCACGGGGAGCAAGGTCATTACACTAACAACTGCAACGCTTGGAAAAGGCACTTTGAGGAGCTGGTCAGAGAGGGCCATTGCACCGAGTTCGTTGCAAAGAAGGCTATCCAGCAGATCGAGGATCGTGATGCAGCTGCCAAGGAACCTCCCCAAAAGGTCATTCGAATCAACACCATTCTAGCCGACTCCCAAGAGTCCGGGCTGACCACCAAGGAGTGCAAGAGAAAGATCGCTCAGGCAACTTATGTCTCCCAAGTCACAACGGGAGTACCAGCCATTGTGGATACACCCATCATCGGCTTCTAGAAGAAGGACTTGATCGGGCTTAACCTGCCATATAATGACGCCCTAGTCATCTGCATCCAAATTGAACAAGCTGTGATCGAGCGAGTTCATATAGATGAAGGCAGCGCAACCAACATCCTGCAACTATCTGTTATCCAACAGATGGGGTTCGAGCCCAAGATTAGCAAACTTGCCATATCGCTCACCGGCTTCAATGGGGCCACATCAATCACTGTTGGAACGATCAACCTGGATGTCCACTCACCCCCAGTGGTCTGCTCGTAAACCTTCATGGTCATTGATGAGGTTTCCCCCTACAACGGAATCTTGGGCCGACCGTTGATCAGCAAGATCGAGGCTATCACATCTGCTCTACATCAGAAGATCCTTTATCCCATTCCTGGGGGCGGGATCGGGCAGATCAACAGTGACCAAGCCATAGCAAGGAGATGCACAGCCCAAAGGCTCAAGAAGAGCAAGCAGCTGCAATTCACACCAGTAATGTAAGCTGCCAACGAGGCAGGAAGCACTCTTAGCAGACAAGCAAACCTGAAAGGGAAGGAAGTTGCTGCCTCACAATAGCAGTTAAGGAACCAGGATCAAGGTGAGGGAATCCGCCCGGAAGACTCCCCTGAAAAGGGTTGGAAGCCTAATGATGACATTGAGTTAGTACCCCCTGATCCTGGCTAGCCAGACAAAGAGGCGCAGATCGACTCGCGCCAGAATCCAAACAAGAAGGATCAAGACGAGGGAATCCACCCGGAAGGCTCCCTTGAAGAAGGTTGGAAGCCTGAGGAAGACGTTGAGTTAGTATCCCCCGATCCTGATCAGCCAGATAAGGAGGCATAGATCGGCTCGCGCCAGAATTCAAACAAGAAGGATCGAGATGAGGTAATCCGCTCGGAAGGCTTCTTTGAAGAAGGTTGGAAGCCTGAGGAAGACGTTGAGTTAGTACCCCTCGATCCTCACCAGCCAGACAAGAAAGCGCGGATCAGCTCGCGCCTATGCCCTGACGAGAAGATAAAGCTGACCATCTTCCTCCAGAACAACAAAGACATGTTCGCGTGGTCACCATCTGACATGCCCAGCATCGACCCAAACATCATCTGCCATCGGCTCCATGTCAACCCTGCTAGCAAGCCCGTGGTGCAGAAGAGACGCAACTTTGCTCCTGAGCGGGTCACGATCGTTGAAGCCGTGATCGACAAGCTCCTAGCTGCCGATTTCATTGAGGAGGTCTCCTACTCGGAATGGCTGGCCAACGTTGTTCTGGAGGCGAAACAAGAAAAGGAAAAATGGATAGTATGCGTCAATTACACCGCCCTCAACAAAGCATGCCCTAAATACAACTTCCCATTGCCGAGAATCGACCAGCTCGTGGATTCAACTTCCGGCAACCAGCTGCTCAGCTTCATGGATGCTTACTTCGGCTATAATCAAATTATGATATACGATGATGACAAGGCGAAGACCTCTTTCATCATCAAAAGAGGGACCTACTGCTACAAGGTCATGCCCTTCGGGCTGAAGAACACCGGAGCAACCTACCAAAGGCTCGTGAATAAAATTTTCAAGGAGCAGATTGGCAGAACCATGGAGGTGTACGTGGACGATATGTTGGTTAAAGCCCCCAAGCGGGCAGACCACCTCAAAAACCTCACCGAGGAGTTCAGCCTGCTCCGCCAATATCGCATGAAGCTGAATCCAAGTAAATGCATGTTCGATGTATTGTCTGGCCGGTTCCTGGAGTACTTAGTGACGCAACGAGGTATCGAGGCACACCCACGCCAAATCAAAGCCATTCTCGAGATGAAGTCACCTTCCACAGTGAAGGAAATACAAAGCCTGACGGGCAGAGCAGCGTCCCTTAACAGATTCCTCTCAAAATCTACCGACAAGTGCAGACCATTCTTCAAAGCTTTGAAGAAAGGACAAAAAGACAAATGGGACGAAGAGTGCGAAGTAGCTTTCCAGAATCTAAAGACTTACCTTACTTCACCTCCCCTGCTCTCAAAGCCAGTTCCTGGTGAAGAATTGTTCGTGTACCTGGCAGTGTCCAACCCGGTCGTCAGCTCAACTCTCATCTGAGAATAACTTGGGGCCCAATATCCGATATTCTACACGTCAAAAGCTCTCCTCGATGCAGAGACTCGCTACCTGAAATTGGAGAAGCTTATTTTGGCCCTTGTGGTTTCTGCGAGAAACTGCGACCTTATTACCAAGCTCACTGAGTTATTGTCATGACCGACTTTCCTTTGAGATCAATCCTCCACAGCCTTGATGCTTCTCAGCGACTCATGAAGTGGGCTATAGAGCTAAGCCAATACGACCTCCTCTACCGGCCAAAGACTGCAATAAAAGCTCAAGCCTTAGCAGACTTTGTTGCAGAATTCACACCATCAGCCGAAGAAGAGAAGCTGGTCAGCAAAAAGAAGGAAAGTTCGAGAGCAGACAAGACAGAGCAGCCGGACCTGATGCAGATCGATGAGGGTCCTAGCTGGCAAGACCCCATCATTGACTATCTAGTGAATGAAAACCTGCCCAAGGACAAGTCCGAGGCCAGAAAAATCAAGCAGAAGGCTGCAAGATACTACATGAAAAGCGACATGCTTATCCGCAGATCATAGTCCGGGCCTCATCTCACTTGCATCAAGTACCCGCAAACGCTCGAGGTTCTCTGCAAGATACACGATGACGAATGTGGAAATCACGCTGGGGCAGATCGCTTGCTCAGAAGGCTCTCAGCATCGGCTATTTCTGGCCTACCATCCAAGACTCCACAGAGTATGCTCGAAGATGTGATCAATGCCAACGCTACAAGCCGGTCCCTGGCCTGCCCGCTGAGGAATACCATCCGCAGAACAGTCCATGGCCATTCATGCAATGGGTCATTGCCTTGGTAGGACCTATGCTCACGGTACCTGCCAATAAAGAGATGATGATCGTTGCCACTGATTACTTCACCAAATGGATCGAGGTTGAGGTTTTATCTTCTACCAAGGAGGCCGATGTTGAACGGTTCATCTGGAAGAACATATTTGCAGATTCGGTTGCCCGCAATCAATAGTCACCGACAACGGTACACAGTTCGTGGGCAGGCAGACCACTTCATTCCTTGCGAAGTATGACATCAAACAGCACCTATCAACTCCCAGATACCCGCAAGGCAATGGCTAAGCAGAGGCATCCAACAAGATCGTGCTGGACTGCCTAAAGGAAAAACTAGAATGCGCAAAAGGAAAATGGGTCGACGGGCTGCCAGGAGTTCTATGGGCTTATCGCACAACCAAAAGGAGATCAATCGGAGAGACACCATTTTCCATGGCCTATGGGAACAGAAGCAATCATTCCCCCACACATCACAGTCCCTTCCATGAGCATCGAGGTGGGCAGTCTTGACCAAAACTGCAAGCAGATGAAAGTCAACCTTGATCTGCTCGAAGAGGAATGAGAAAAGGTCATTGTTCGAGTTACAGCTTACCAGCAACAGCTCACATCTTGCTACAATAAGAAGGCCATTGTTCGAGTTGCAACTTACTAACAATAGCTCACATCTTGCTACAATAAGAAGGCCATTGTTCGAGTTGCAACTTACCAGCAGCAACTCACGTCTTACCATAGCAAGAAGACCATTGTTCGAGCAGCAGCATACCATCAGCAGTTGGCATCTTACAACAACAAGACCATTGTTCAAGTTGCAGCTTACCAGCTCGACTTCAAATAGGTGACGAGCCTCCTTCATCTCCATTGCAGACAAGCTACTCCACGAAGCACGAACTCAATGGAGTATTTCTCGAGCATTGTGTCCCTAACATACGCTCGCAGGCGACAAACCTCATCTCCATTGTAGACAAGCTGCTCCACAAAGCACAAACTCTTGTCCACAAAGCACAAACTGAATGGAGTCTTTTTCGAGCATTGTGTCCCTGACATACGCTTACAGGCGACAAACCTCATCTCCATTGTAGACAAGCTGCTCCACGAAGCACGAACTCAATGGAGTCTTTTTCGAGCATTGTGTCCCTGACATACGTTCGCAAGCGACAAGCCTCATCTCCATTGTAGACAAGCTGCTCCTCGAAGCACAAACTTAATGGAGACTCTTTCGAGCATTGTGTCCCCAACATACGCTCGCAGGCGACAAGCCTTATCTCCATTGCAGACAAGCTGCTTCACGAAGCACAAACTTAATGGAGTCTTTTTCGAGCATTGTGTCCCCGACATACGCTCGCAGGCGATGAGCCTCATCTCATTGTAAACAAGCTGCTCTTCGAAGCACAAACTCAATAGAGTCTTTTTCGAGCATTATGTCCCCGACATACACTTGCAGGCGACAAGCCTCATTTCCATTGCAGACATGCTGCTCCACGAAGCACAAACTCAATGGAGTCTTTTTCGAGCATTATGTCCCCGACATATGCTAGCAGGCGACAAGCCTCACCTTCACTGAAGGCAAGCTACTCCTCGAGTACAAGCTTCATGGAGTCTTTTCAAGCGTCATGTCCCCGACATACGCACACCGGCGACGAGCCTTATCTCCATTGTAGGCAAGCTATTTCGCGAGTACAAACTCAATGGAGTCTCTTTCAAGTGCTATGTCTCCGGACGTACACTTACAAGATACAATGAGAATTGAAGTTTGAAAGACAACTAAAAATTCCATAACAAAGCAGCCAACCAGCACCATCTACTCAACAGCCTCACCTGCCTGCTCCTTCGCATATGGTCTAACCTTATCAGCTACGCCACCTTGGGAGTTTTCTTCCTCCATTGCAGCTTCATCTGCTATCTGCTTTTCAACTGCTTCTGCATCCACAACATTGCTCTGCTCACTTTAAGCAGGGGCAGGTCAAGATAAAGCTGCTTACCATCTTCATGTTCGAGAGGGCAACAAGGAGAAGCACTATTCCTGCAATCCGAGTATCCCAGCTTGTACGCATTAGCAACAATTTCATGCTTGGATGCCTCCGTGGCTTCAACATGAGTGTCGAACTTGACCAGCGGAGCTATCACCAACTTCTGGATCGGCAGTTCTCGCAACTTAAGGACTCTTTGCTCGAGCGGACGACTCTTTAGCTCTCTTGGCCGAAACTCGCAACATTGAGTCAGCTCTGTGCTTGACTGTTCGTGGCTTTGCCGACGAGTCGTGATTGCTAGACAGATGTACAGTCCTCTTAGTTTGATCCCAGGATCAGCACAAGCAACTCAAAACCCCGCTTCTCGACAGCCTCATCACAGGGTAGATCATGGGTTTTAGGCAGTTCGAGCGGATACCTGAGCAGAATATCCCAGACCTCCTGCATGCCATTGATCTTCTTACTGTTCGTGCTGACGAGGCGCTTGATCCTGGCAGATGAAGAAGCAACTCCCATAGGGACATTCCCAGCAAACGAGACCCCCTTACGGAAGACTTGCTCGTGGAAGAATGAGGAAGCTTGGTAGAGGACTTCTCCCGCTCAACTGGCGGATCATCTAGGTCCGAGCCAGCCATGTAGCTCCCATCTTTCAACATCTTCGGCTGGGGGCAGACCATCAGCCTCCTTCTGATGTTCACTCAGCAACCAGCGTAATCCATAGAACCTGGCAAGGATGTTTAAAGCTTGATGAACATTGATCGTGTTCGGGTTGAGATCGAGCTTCTTGTGGATGTCATTTTCTACAAGCAGAAGACAGAAGTCAGTCAAACGCACAGTAAAGAATTCCATGGCTACTGGAGCAGATCAAAGGGATGCAACTTACCATCATAGTAGGTGAGAGGAACGAGCGGACCGTCGCCAACCTCCCCTACCCATCTGCTGCTGACTTCCAACATGTCCGTGCTCCACACACGATCGCCTTCACTCATATTGTTCCTAGTTTGTGACACAAAAAGAAGGAATTGAAGCAGTTTGGATCAACCACAAATAAGCAGACCCAAACTGCCACTTGCTCCAGCAGCAGGCCGGCTCGCCTCCAACCCAGTTACAGCTGGACAGCCCAAGTTAAAAGACCAAAGTGGCAAGTCAAAGACCTTCTCCACGCAGGAGCCCAAATCAAATAAGGAAGCCCAGTTACAACTGGATAGCCCAACAAATAATTCACATCTCCTATATGCCGCCACACACCATGCAGAAGCTGAGGGGCATTTGTGGGAACCAATTAAATCAAAACCCTAGGTCAAATAATTCCTTCCATTTGGGGATTATTTGACCTAATTGGGAATTACTCAACCTAATTGGGAGTTACTCAATTTAATTGGGGGTTACCCAATTAAATTGATAATAACCTAATTAAATTGAGATTTGATTTGATACCTACCACAATTAGGGATTTGATTTACTCTAATAAATCAAGTCCATAATTAATCAAATCAATGCCAAATCGAGGAGGAATAATTCCTTACCAACTACGGAATTATTCCTCTGAAACCCTAGCCTCCGAGACTACTATAAAAAGATGGCCACACACAAGGGTGGAGGTACGTCTAAATTCCTACTGAAACTCTGCATAAATTATTTCTCACAAACCCTAGCCACCATTTTCTTTCTCTCTCAGACACAAGGCTTCGGCCACCACACACGGCTCCGGCCACCCGGTTTTCCTTGAAATACTCTACCTAACTTAGGCATCAGAGGGCATTTGGCCAACACCCCCCGGGTGTGGTCCTTTTACCCCGATTTGTTTTGCAGAGAGAAAGAGAAGTGGAGAAGACGAAGGAATCTTAGACGCATATTCTAGTGGGACGAAATTTGCTCCCACAAAATCTATGCAATTATATTTTACGGGTAACAATTTTCTGTGTTGATACATTTTAGACGTAGTGTGGTTATTACAATACATAATCCAACGGTACCTTAGGTGAATCTTGACACTAAGTTAAGTACAGTTCGGCTGGGTTTAGTTTAGGCCTTAAACTAGCAATATAGTTGTCAAATCATGACTTTTGTTAACTATTATGTGACTCTTATCGCTTTTATGTGCAATTGGATCGTTGGAGATTTGCTTACTGAGATCTACCCTTTGTTCTATGGTGGCGGGACTTTGATCCGTGGTGGTATGGTAGTCATGATTTAAGTTTGTGGTTTAATTTAGGATTTTGCTTGTTTTTGGGCTGTGTGGGTTTGGATACGAGCTATGCAGATTTTGGTGATTTGAGTTGTCTAGTTGTTTATGTGGATTTTGTCTCATGTAGTTTTCCTCTTTCAGGTTATTGGTTTTGCAGTCATGTTGAGATGAATTCGTATTTCATACACGTCTTTGATGTCTTGCTGAAGTTTTCTAATGAATATCATTATTTGATAAATAAATAATAAACTAGCAGTATACCTGAACCGTAAAAAATTAATTGTGGTTTGGTTTGGTTCAATTCAAAATTATACATTTTAATGTAAAACATGAATCAAACCGCTTGATTTGATTTGATTTAGCCGGTTTAATCAATTACGGTTTGGTTTTAGTCTAGTAGACTACACTTATTTTGAATTTTTCTATTGTTCACCCCAATACTTAAATCATTAAGCTCTTAAATTTTATTATTATATAAAAGAACAAAAAAGGTCGTCCAACTTAATACCTAGTACATCTATACACACACCTCACCACCCTTCATATTAAGTTTTAGAAAAATACAAACTCTTTTAGACTATTGCCAGATTACTCTTCTCTTTTAATCCAAGAAACCAACTACACTCTCATCTTCTCTTCACAAACCCTAAATAAGGTATACGAATAGTGGATTGTGGGTCGTCAATTGAGGTATATAATGTGATTATTTCTTGGTTTGGGACTCCTCCCAGAATTATTGAGGATGCTATGATCAAAGACTTTTATTCGGTCACCTACTTTGAATTTCTCCACATTCTTCCTAGCTATGTGCACAACACTAACAATTTCATGCCTGGAAAATCAATTGAAAATGTTCAACACACATGAATGATTTCAAGGAATAATAAAATGATTATTTCTGCTAGGTGCTGCAAAATGCAAAGGGATACAACAACCAATTCCCACACATGAATGCAATTTTTGATAAGATATTTGATCATATATGTAAACAAAATCAAAACCATTTTGAAATGCAAATATTTTAAATAAATAAATAAAAACACTAATATGCATGTCAAGTTTTTGTGGGGTGGGGGGTGGGGGGTTGTGGGGTTGTTGTGTTTTTTTTTTTTTTTTTTTTTTTTTGCTGAGTGTGTATAGTTTGGGAACATAGTAGGGTTTTCTTAAAAATTGTGAAAATTTGAATTAGATATTGGCATGAACTTAGAATATGGAGTGAACGAAGATAAGTGAGAGTTTAAATAGAAAATTTCTGCCTCTAAAATTGATACACTCATTAAAAATAAAAAATAAAAATCGTCAATTTTAGGCACCAGCGTGGCATGTGCTTGACGAAGAAAACGTGGCATGTCAGTGAGTTGATGGGGTATAAATAATAGTAAATTTGGCTTACACCCTTCAAATTCAATTTGCCGTACCTAAAACCCTTCACTTTTTGTTCCTATAAATAATACCCAATTTGTATAAGTAAAAACCCATGACTAGGATCCAACTCAGCAAGTTACCTAATTAAGCATAAAATCTGATTTATTGTACTTTTCAGATTCCAAAAATACCCCCAACTAAGCCATTATTGCATTTTGTATATTAATGTAGGAATCAATATGGAAACAGTTTTTAATTGGATTGTATATAATGACAGATGTTGAATTTGGAAAGATCTCCAAATGGTTGTAATGGATGTA